CAAAAAGTCAAGGTAATAGTCTAAGCTGTCTAATCGCAAGCTCCCAGCAGCAGGTGAAGATAAGGAGATGATCCTTAAGAAATCAAGGACAAGGGCCCATGACCACCATTCCTTTCAACATTGCATGTCATCTCCGGAGGAGAGCAGTTTCCTTGCTCTGTGATCTAAGCATAGAGCAATGAAACAGTTACCAGAATATATACATGCAAGTGATGCAACACATGTTTTTCCATGGGGAGAAACATGATTGGTAACACATGATGTGGGATAGGTCACTGGTCGCGATAAACCCCAATATATGATCAAAATGGGTACTAGATCACTCTCGTCAGCAAAGCTTCTGCATTATCAGTATCATCATTAACATAAAGACATTTCCATTCATTTCACTTATCTGCTGATCACCCACTCATATCTTTGACAATATAATTCCAAGAATGTGTACAATTCAGATGATTTCCCGCAGAACAAAATACTCAGCAAGTGGTCACTTTTCCACTTTACTTTGACTGTTTAATCTAAAATATGTGCCTTTTCAAATAGATAATCCAAAGGTCTAGATAAGAGCTACAAATTTTAAACTATTTTTATTCACAGAAAGAGTGATTTTTTGTTATCTTAAGTATGCAGACATCACATTCAGCAGCTGGACACCTAATGTAGTTAGGACAGTTGTTGCACTGTTTAGCATATGCCTTCCTTGCCACCTCATAATATTTTGGACATTATATTAATTCAAAATGACAAGAGTCTACAAGCACCCAGCGACCCAAACATGAGATTCATGTGTTATCAGTGTGGAATGTGTAACATGAGGACTTGGTCCCATACTATGGGCTCCCATCATCCACAGGGAGTGTAAATAACAGCGGCAGATGACACGCATGCTGATTCGATGTGACAACTCCAGTGACTGAGCAAGCTATTTACAGGACTTCAAAAGGCACATGCAAAGATATTCATTTACGTGCCAGAAATTTTGGCTGTACAGTATTTATAGGACAAAAGGTAAATTGGGAATTTTTTTGTATTACAGCACAGGCTGAAGTCACTGGGTGAATGGTCAATGTAGTATATTGGCCTTACCGAAAAAGAGATGTGTGAACATTTGTCATTTGCAGATTGAAGGATTACCATATGAGTGTGTGAAAAAAAAAGGAGTGAGGTTATGCATGATGTATGTTTAGCCTAGAAGTAAGGAATATTTTATGAATTTCCCATGCATTACGAGCCGCAAGTTTCACAACTTGGGATTAGGGACTGCGGTAAACTTCCCCCGGCAATTAGCAGACAATCCGAGAAAGAATAACATCTGAGGCACCTGGAGTCGGGGTCTGGGACTAACATCAGGAGGAGGAGGAGGCCTCTTCCTCAGCCAAAAGTGGGGCGACTGAGCATCAATGTCTCAAGGCACCAGAGGCCATCTGGAAGGCTGCCTTCCTTGGATGAGCCAATGAACCCATGTCAACACACTGTTCCATCAACACTGGATGCACGGGGGAATTGGGACAAATGAAAGAAACACTATGTAATTTCATGCAACATTGGCTAGATTACACTCCGGTGTTCCCTCTATCCTCCAACCCTTTGGGGAATGCGGCAGCGGCAGGGCCCCGCAGGATCGCTGGCAGTTGCTACCGTTTCCTGCTGCTTCCTGGCCTGCGCTCTGTCCTCCCCACCCTGGTAGCTACGACGAATGCGGCCCACAATACGGAATGACAGATACGCGTCAGCTGTTGACAAGAAAATGATCACAGCAACACCAAAAAAAAAATCCTGCCCGCTTAACAGGGAGAAGCTAAGTAATGAAATAGCACTTTGATTTCCCACTATCGGCAACAGACACTGCCTACACGTCAGTCTTTTCGCCCGGCTGGGCTTGGGACTCATTTACCATTTCTGACATGCAGGCTGTCCGTCACCCTCAACTCCCAATGCTACCTCGAACCCAGTGGCACAGAAAATTAAATTCTGGCGATAAATCATCGAAAAACATGAGGTTTTGCGAAGGCAGTTGATGAGCTGCACAATCCAAAAGTGTTGCCCATGAAAGTTTAATAGCACACTGCATATTAGTGTCATCATCTGCTATGAAAAAAACAAAATCTATATGCCACTAATGTTGAAATTAGGTCTATTTGTTTGCCGGATTATGATCTGTGAAATTATGTTTTATATATGCAGTGATCCAGCGCACAAATCTGCAAAACATATGAATGTACAATGAGAAATATCAGGAGCCAAAGCCTTCATGCACAAAGATTTCGAACATACACTTCTCTGTGCCTCCCTAAGTAGGTCAGAAGAGTGACTTTTGACCTCTGCAACTACAGCTCACTCAAAACAGTGAAAAGCTTAGGCCTACATTTCTCCAGTCTATTTTTCTTCAAATGTTGAGGGGAATTGATAATAAAAGACCACAACAAAGGACTGTTCCATGTGAAGTATTCCGAAGGCATTCCACGTTATTGAAAACAATTTATAAAGCAACATAAAGCTGCATAAAACATTTGTGGCTTTTTAAAATGTGTACAACCGCTATTTGTAATACTTAAGTTTGTTTCATTTCAACATTTATTTCCACATAGCAATGTACATTCATTAAATTACACAGAGTCAATATACAAGAGATGTTTAACAAAATACAAGAATTGTAGTTACATCACACAAATAAAAGTGGGGAAATACAGAGGCATATTATAAAACAAAGCCTTCTGGAGAAACGCCTTAAATTGACAACAAAACTAATAGCATACCACACAGAAAAGACAAGAATGGAATACAGACAAATGAAGACTAAAACAAATCAATGGACTGAGATGTACTTCACACTACAGGTGAAAGTACTTGGAACTCCAAAGACAGAGAGAAAAGATCAAACACATAGAATGACAAAAGAGAAGGAGCTACATTAGATAATTGGACACAAGGTGGTTTTTTGTAGGCCGGATAAGTCAAAACCATGGAGCAGTGGTGTGCACTTATGTGCAGTACTGTAGCAAAGTACCACATTGAAGAAAACATGGTTAACAGGTTACCCAGGGGAAAATACACACACAATTTAAAGAAAAGGGAGTTATCAGACATGAAAAATACATTCAAATCACCACTTTTATCTTTTCCAAACTTTACAGAGACTAGCAATGTGTTCCATTATTCAATAAAGCCTGACTATTATTTTAAATGTTCCACAAAAACCCTTTTAAAATCTTAGCATGAAAATTACTATACATGCCTTGTTTGTAAAGATGGTTACAGATACCTGGTCCCATGATTCACAACCAGTGATTGATATCAACAATCAGACATGTGGACATCCTACTCTAATGAACAGACCTACATGTACAATGGTGAAATCAGTTCATGATTCTTTGTCTTTGAATGCCATTTGGGTTTGTGCATGTGTAACAAAAATGGACTGCTGACTGGAAGTGGTGGTAAATATTTCTCAAAGTGGGAGGAGGTAGATCTTCCTAAATATTTTAGTGAACTTGTGATGAGAACTTTTGTCTGTTTAACAATGAAAGTGTGAAACTTTCAGTTTAAATGTAAATTGTCCAACAAATTTAAAGCTGTGAACAGATGACACTTACAAAAACAACACAAATTTCAGCTTGGCTTTAAACTCATCAATTACAAACAGCTTTCCAGTGTTGAAAAAACATGTACTTGAAATCAGAGATAGATCTGTCATATTCATTTTATGTTTACATGATTTTGCTGTCTTCGAATTCATAGCATTTGGTCTTAATGTGCTGTCAATCCACACACCAACAAACTGACTGTCTCGAGTCAATTAATTTACCATAGTACCACCATGAATTGTAAAGTGTTTTCAGGAAGGTGATGATTCAGACCAGACTAAAGGTTTGCAGGCTAAATTGAATGCCAAGCGGCATAAATGTCACTAATAAATACCACATAACTACAAATCACAAAAGAGAATTTCCTTCTCAAAATGTGGTCAATATTAGCTAGAGGACAAAAATATACATGCCAACCACACAGGTACGACAATAATGGCAGAAACAGAAAGCAATTTTTATTCAGCAACAAACCGAACTGAAATTTGAATGGGTCAATGGGTCAAATTACGAGCAAATCATACATGTACATCACAATTAACAAGAGAGTGCAAATGCTGCAGATTCTACTGTTAAAAATTTCTCTAGAGGACCTCCTTGCTACATACAAAGGAAAATTTGTGGACATGCTGTTCAGGATCTGTCTGAAATCTACCATAACCAAAGGAAACGCCTACTGGTTATTTTCTCTAAACTTCAGGAATTTTTTGTTAGTTTTGTTGCATTTAAAATTTTTAAAGTTAGTTCTAAATAAAAACTGTTGTTTGGCTGTAGGGTTTAGTTTACCGAAGTATGGGGATTGCATTGTAAGTAAAAAATACCTGTCATTCACTCAAGATTGTCAATGACAGGTTTTTCCCTTTTTCATGGTACAACTACAAGGCTCACAAGTCAACATCAGTGACTCACAAAGATCATTTCTGGTTTTTTGCATTTCAGATGGCCTTTAAACAATGTTGTTGTTTTCATCATTCATGATTTACTTGTGTAAAATCAACATCTGAAAATTCAGTATTTCATGATGCTGAACACCGCTGAAGAATATTTGGGGCATGTCTCACATCACGTGGCTAACACTTCGAACAAGAAGGCACAATTCAATCACAAAAGCTGGGTAAATCTTAACTTTGTGGATGACCACAACCATTCACGAAGAGGCCTAACCAACCAGCGAGAAAGATGGATTGCATAGGAAACAATGTCAAGAACTTCAAGCGGCAAAGTAGGTGACAAACGACAAAGCGGCTACACTCAGAACGACATGCCTCGGCCAGCCGGTTTACAATAATAGGAATACAGCACGCCACACTTACGCGCGCCACGGCACGCACGTATCCCTCCCTCGCAACAACTCGACTTTCAAACTACATGTACAAGTACACACACGACTACTGTGTGGGAACACCACCGACTTACCATGTACCAGTGTCAACCGTCCCCGCTGCTCTGGAAATGCCGAATGACCTGCATGGTGAGGACAACAAAACCGCGCCACTAATTACAAATGCTAAGGACGGGCCAAGTAATTAGAAGCCTTTTCTCACGCGTTCCGATTCAAAGCCGTGCACACAGTAGGCAGCTTGTATTTGATGGTCGCATTAACCGAGCACACCGGCAGTGCATGCAAGGGGTAACCGCTGTGCCGTGCAGCACTAATCGTGATCTGATCAGTGACACAAGACATCACACCAACCACCACACGTTACACATGAACAAAACCAGCCAACTCGGTACACAGAAAACACTCACACTTCAGGCCCTTCAAGGTCCAGGAAGCGCCTCCAAAAAGCCTGGGCCGGTTGGACAGGAACAGAACCTTCACGCCGATTTCTAGTTCTCCTCCCGTCTGAATAGCGCAGAGGAGACCGAGATTTGCCACATCGGCTCCTAAACTAAATTACGTCGCGTTGCCAACAAACGCAGTGTGTGTTCCATGCGAGCGCGCTCGAGAACCACACATTGTTTTGCTAATTATTTTCAAAATGGCTGTGTGTGCAGTGGTTTCAGGTGATTTGATGAGCATGCGTATTAACACTGGCGCAGGTGTTAGCTCATTTGCATATCTAATAGCACTAAGTGCTCACGCCGACTTCGAAACGCTTGCTCGATGCACCTCGAGAAACTTCGGAGATGCAGGCAAATACCTCACTGTCGTTAATGCCGTACAGACTGCGTATATAATCGCATAGACTCATTAACTTGGACTTATTATATGTGTAGGTTCAGCCGAATTAAGGCGTGCTCGCGGAGGAACGTTAAAGTACAACTACCGTCATGACCCTGTAGGCCCCCTTCGACGTAAAATAAATTCCTTGCAACCAAACACGTGGTTGCATTCCACTTTCAATCACACTGTAACAGCCCAATGTCATCGGCATTACCAATGAAAGCTGCCAGTGACCTTACCACGGACAAACTGTCAATCTATACGTTGACCCTTTTTATCTGGACCAAACGACCATAAAAACCTCACACTCAGTCGTCATTCTGGAGCGATTTCAACGGCCCATACTGCACCGCTTTCACCCTCAACCTAGCGTGGGGCGATATATCTGATCTGGCAATCCATGTCACATACACGTGGTCGGGGGATGTACCGTACATACAGTACATGTACATGTGGGTCGCTACATGCAAATTGTTTGGTCTACAGATTGTGCATGTCTAGCGCGCCGCCGCCGTGCCTGCTTGCCGTCGATATGAAATCGACGCGTCAGGTCGAGTCGAGGACGGCGGAAGTGACGTAATAAGGCTTTGCGGGAATCCTGCGCGCGCTCTGCTAGCTCAGACATGTGCCCAGCTGATCGCGATGTAAACACAAGCAGTAGTCGGGTGCCTTGTCGACCGCCGCGATACTTCGGAGCTGGCATCCAAGGATTCCTGATTGTTTTCATCTGTTCCCAGACCTTTCAATCTCGAACAAAATGGTTCATGAGTTCGCCAAAGTGCCAGGAGTGCGGAATACTTGCCTTCAAAGTGCAGATGCTTTATCGGTCGACGACCCAACCCACGACCACACCTAGTATCAGCATTTTGAGATAAATGGCTGACTAAAGTAAATATCCTGAACATTCGACCAAGTTCTTATGGCAGGTAAAGGAGAAAATGTCGAATCGAATACAGGCCCTTCTGTTGCTAGTCGTGATCATCAAAATGTAGAGATCGAAAGAAAATTCACTGTGTCTGTGGACACAGAAACCAAACTTACACAGTCAGGGGGAACATGTGTTCTGGTGGAGACCATGAAAGATTCGTACTTTGATTCGGACCAACTCATTTTAACCATGGCAGACCACTGGCTAAGACGTCGGAATGGTAAGTGGGAACTGAAGGTACCACTCTCTGGTTGGCCTACAAACAAGTACAACGCTTCCGAGACATGCACAAAGTATTCAGAAATAACTAATGAACAAGAAATAGTTGCGAATTTGTGCGCAATTATTAATGCAAAGACAGATGTCGACAAGCATGACAAGATGACCCACTCTTCGGAAGAGGAAACACATTCTGCCAAGGAGGATCTGAGTCTCGAGAAGTGTCTCATCGAGAATGCATTGATGCCATTTGCCCAATTCACAACCTACCGTAAGACGTACTCAATGGGTGGAGGCATTCTTGTTGTAGTGGACCAGACTGATTTTGGGTACAGTGTGGGTGAAATTGAAATGATGACTGGACCATCCCCAGCAGACCTCCTTGCAGCTGAGGCGAAAATTGAGGAGATGGCGGAGAAACTAGGTCAGGAGATTTCTGGAAAAGAGTGCAGAATCATGCTGCCACTTTTTTTTTCACCCCCGAATGACCAATGTGACAAGTGTTTTGCAGATATTTTCAAAGCAAAAACTACCAGAAAAAAAAATAGTAAACACTGGTTCAGTGAATGATATTACATTTGAAATTTTGTTCAAAAATACTTTTACACAGTGTTTGTATGATGTTGCAAACAAAAAGATATTGGCAGCCTGACCTTGCATTTAATTCCCCGTTTGATTTGTACTTTGATCCCAAACTTTCATTGAGCCATTGATGTTTGACAGTAGTGACTCAAAAAAATTATGTAGAAATTATATTTCAAGCGAAAAACTATTATTCAATCCAAATCCCTCATTTAGATTCTTCTACAGCTCTGCCATTTTTCTTTCCACACTTACCCTGATGGGATCTTCACGATATCTTCAGTCTCTCACAAAGGTCCACGGATCTTCAGTAGGTTATAAAACTTTGCAATATCAGATACGAAGAAAAATTGTACAATTTGTGGGTCAATACTTAACTGCAAAGGGTAACCGCCAAAGTCATTCTTGAATAAAGGTTTTGCCAACAAACCACGAGGGAGCAGAGGAGGATGAAGCACCTTGCATACACCCTGCATGGGGGTATATGGAGGTTTTTCACGTGTTGTAATGTGATGTGTAAAGCCTAAAAGCAGTTCAGGAAGTGTATCTTATGGCAATTTCATGTACAACAGAATTTTGAGAGATTTCAAAGGCGCGTGTGTTTCTGCGCACATCTGTGTAAATTGAATGCTGACCATCAAAAATCACATAACTGAAAATCCTCTATAAGTTTATACCCCAAGGCTGTGCCTATTATCAGAATATACAGATATTTGATCCGTATCAAAGATTTAACTATTTATTTCGAACTCACATATTCAAAGGTAGAAATCTATTTAATGAAAAGGGAAAAAATCAAATATTTGGTTATTAAATGGCATTCTATTTGACATTTTACAAGTACTTAAAGACAGTCTTAGCATATGCCCAACAATAAGGCCAAAAATTACGTTTCCTTCAAGTTTTTCTGTCCTTTCAATAAAAAAAGGCATATTTTCATTTGCTTTTGTGGCAATTTGGTACAGCCGAACATTCAGATATTTGATCAGATGGAAGGCTGAATATTTAAATGGTAAATTAGGTGAATTACCTCAGCCCTTGCGTACGTCTGTATGGCATACCCAAATGTCAATACTGCTGACTTGCTGCATGGGAAAACTCTGGAACTACATCAGTGATTTTGCTTGTGGGTCATTCTATAAATTCGTTGTCTAAAAGTGTATCATTTTTGCATCCCTGTTTCACCTATCCTATGATATTTGACCTAGAAATATCACCTAAGTTGATTTCAAACTATATCTGTTTGTTTGGCAGGTAATTTGCAGTAATTCATCACTCTTGGAAATTAGAGAATGTGTTCTAAACTTCCAAAATCACATGTCAGATGTAACAGGGACACCAATAAAATTGGACCCCTAATTTATAGAATAACCCCTATAGGCTTGCGTAAAGGGGAAGGGGTTCAAACATCCATAACTTTTTTCTTACCTAGACAGCCCCTTAACCCTAACCCTCCTCAATCCTCCAACAGGTGAAGGATTGAGGAGGGTTAGGGTTAATTTTGCTTTCTGAATCTATGACTTTGGCAACAGGATTGAATAAGCCACTTGCGAGTTAAATTTGAATAAAATCTGGTACACTGTGTTATCTGATTGCATAGAAACGAAAAAATTTGAATTCCCCTGACTAAAGACACTATTGCTTTACCTCGTGATTCGGGGTAAGCTTTTGCATAGCAACCACCATCTCTGGAATGGACTGGTTCCTTTGTGCCGTTCCTATCTATTGAGAACAGTGTATTGTTGCAAGGCTCTTATGTAACTAAGCAAAAGCTTGCCCCGAATCACAAGGTATAGCAACAGTGGTTTTAGTATGGAGAATTCAAGTTGTTATGTTGACTTGAATTTAGAGAACTCAGTGTACCAGATTTTATTCAAATTTAACTCGCAAATGGCTTATTGCGGAGTGCAAAGAGGAAGTCAATTACTTTAGAGGCGCAAAAAGCAGTCCAGTTTTTTGTTGTTTTAGAACTCTCTTTTTAATTACCACCAAAGGGCAGTTAGCCAAGATCTTAGACCTACAGCTGCAGATGGTGTGATTAATCATTTTTCCAGGTCTTGCTCAAGGGAACTATAAGCAGAGTGACACTTCTTGTGGCCAGAGAACATGTACATTGTATTCAGATGTCAGGTTTTGGGAGGGAGGAAAATTAAAATTCCAGGACTTGTTGTTGAGATCCTTGAACCCCTCTAGTCACATCCGCTTAATTTTGCCTCTTTAATTCAGTGTTCCTGTTCAGAATTGATACCTAGCCTTTGATGAATGAAAATATTCTGTTTAATTTTGTTTGACGTATCTCCTGAGATGTCCTGGAAATTTCACTTGCCAAATCGAACGAAGAAAGAGGAGGCTGGGAAGTTATCATATGACCTTGTTTACCCCAAGGCAGTGTAAAAGTACTGACTGGCGAGGTGTTCCCTTCATCATAGTTTTCCCTTTCTCTTTATCTGTATTTGGCCAGAATTCATTGTAAAGCTAAAAGAAAGGTCGTCAGTCAGTGGCATTTTGGATTTGTCTTTGAATTTTTGTTTTGTTGACATCATGCCAATTCAATATCGAAAGGCAACGTCACTAAGTGTGTGCTGTATGTTGTGGTTTTGATGTGTGCTTTTTCCATGTTGCCTACTCCTATGCTGTTTGATACAATCATCAGTTTCTTATCTACCTAAAGATGGCAGTGAATCATCATTTAATAACCCTACTGGAAACTTACCACCAACTTGGACCCATCAAGCTTCTTGACCAAGTAAACATTATTTCTTGTCCCTTTTATTTTGCTTAAGGACAAAGTGTAGGAGGCAGCTTTTTTTTTCATCCATAGCAGATTTTTCCAAGATGGCACGTGATCTTCTGGACTCTTTTACAGACACTTTTGTGTCTAAAGTAAGCCAGCTTTCTCCTATGTAATAGGTTTTAGACTTGCTGTAATAGCAACATGTGTGTTGTCAGAAGTTGAAAAAAGGGAAACAAAAAAGGAGGCAGTCAGGGAAAAAGGGTTCAGGCAGGGATGAGAAACTGGGTTTTTTTAAACTTGACCTTGCAGAGGTAGTAAATGATAATTTATTCCCTCAAGTGATGGCTCTTTTCCCTATCTTGTCAATTTACAAGTATCTGGATTGGGGTCTGTGCTGTGCCTATGTTTTGTAAATTTGAATGTAACTGAAGAAATGTCTTTAAAAGTATGAGAAAACGAATGGAATTCAGTCTTCCATAGGCCCATATTGATGAAGGTGGAGCCTAGTAAGTGTGGGACAGTTAAATAACCTCCCTTTTTATCTGTTGCCCACCGGTGTGACTTTTTGATTGCTTGCAACAGAGGCACACTGTCTTAAAAGCCCCTGTCACAGTGCTATCAGATAGGCTGAGCTGCACTTTTGTCCTCAGCGGACAGAACTAATGATACTTTGAGAAGGGGAAAGATGCTTGGCTTTGGCTGACAGAAGAAAGAATATTATGTAAGGGCAGTTTTTGACCTTGGTTCAAAAGAAACCAGAGACACTACAAAAAGTTTCTCATTTGTGACGTGCGTGATCGCCGGGAGTAAGCAAATGTCTATATGTCAAAAATTCACCTCCCTTGTTACCCATGGTAAAGACTTGGGCACTTCACCGAGACTTTTGTACAGGAACAAATGGCTGAAAGTCATTCTTGAATAGATGGCATTCCGTGGGTAAGAGCTTGTAAAAAATTGATGTGTTCTTTCACACGTTGCTGCAAATTTTCTAAATCTGAATCCAAGAAAAAAGTACAATTTCTAAGTGTGAAGTGATTACTGTCCTTGGTTTCCATTTCACACTGATTGCATTTGCATGCATATTAACCTGTGGAGGGAAAATTCCTTGAAAGGTAGGGGTTGTTGCCTGCATCACATTTTCAGCATACTTTGGCTCATTTCTCAATAAAGAAAACTCACAGAGAATTGTAAGTTGCACAACTTAGTAAGGTGCACACAGGCTTGTTTTGATTTGCCACTAAGAGACTCATTGTTTGATAAATTGAAAAGTGCGCATGCCGTGAATCAACCCGTATTATATTAAGTCTCCACCTGTCAAGAGGATAACACACAGTGGGACTTGTATTTGTTCCAAGAAGGATTTGAAATGTTGGTAAGGTTCACTGGACATTGGGATGTCTAATTTGTAACTGTGAAGTCGCATGGCACAGTAAACAGCCACACCTTTTAAATACATACACTGTACATGGATTGGTCAGAACTACAATGTACATCTGCACATTCCATATACTCAATATAACTTCCAAAACAAAAAAACCCACGTACAAAGTTCAAGTTTCTGTAAATGTTGAATATGCAAACTGCACAACAAGCACTTCACTTGGTGCAGGTGAATTCTTAACAATTAAACGTGTCAGTGGAAAAACAGACTATTATCAGGTAGTGCTCATTTGCATCAGAAAAACACGCTCCAGCTTGGAATTTATTCACAGTAAAGACTGACCTGTGTCCAAATCGTAATCTACAGGGTGGAAAGGTTGTTAAATTTTATTCTAGGCTTTTTATGGGTGGATGAGAGCTAAGAGAAACATTCTTCCGTATTATTTGAAAAATATGTGGTCAATTTTGAATTTTTCATCCTGTTTCATAAGTAAATACATACTTTCCCAGCGGTGTACCGTACTTAATAAGCCTTTGGAGTTAAGTTTGAATAAAATCTAGTACACTGAGTTCTTTAAATTCATGTTGACGTAACAGTTGAATTCTCCATACTAAAGACACTGTTGCTATATACATGAACCTCGTGATTTGGGGTGAGCTTTTGCTTAGTTACATCAGAGACACCTTGCACCAATATACAGTTTTCAATGGATAAGAAGGGCACAAAC